TATCTCCACACCGTCGATGAATGTAATCTGTTCCCGAACGTGCTTAAAAAATTCATTTGTACTCAGATTTTACCAAACCAATATGCTAGGTGTTATGAAAAAAATGAGTTGTCGGTAAAATCCTTTTTTTTTTGAAACACTGACTGACAAATATACATACACCCGACCCACCCCGACCTCCTAATTTTAAATGCCGGTACCTGGCTACACATGTGTTCACCATTCCAACTATTCAACTAAATAACTGACTTTACCTTTAACTAAATATGTTTCCTTCCATTTATCTTATATCTCACTATATAAGTAACTTATAATTATCTCCCCATCAATCCATTTATTCACCCATCCATCAATATCTTTATCTATCTAACTAATATACAGACTTAATAACCATCCATTTATCGATCCGGTCGTCAGTTCACTTCATATGGTCAAATTATCTCTCAATTTTCTATGTATTAATATGTCTATCAAACTACAGTATCCGACTAACCAAGGCCCATTCGGCCACCCACATCTTGAACAAGGAAAACCGTTTCTATATACGTCATATCCTGTCCATCAACTGCCATTTGTATCTCCGTCCCTCCCCTGCTATTGTCTAGTGCTGGGATTAACTCAAAAGATTGGATTTGATTTCGTTATTGTTTAACGACGTACTTAGCAATATTCCAGCTAAATGACGGTGTCTAGTCTGGATAAGATAAACCAGTGGTTCAAAATGTGCGCAGTGCTTTACGTCACGGGATGATGGCATACAATCACCCAGGTCATCGATCCTGACCACCCGATCTGTGTAACCGTCCAGCACGAAAAGAATGGTACCACAAGCATACGTTGCTGGGGATCTATTCCAACCTTGAATCCCTACAGGGTAGCTCGAAAGCATATCGTTTGCATAACTGATTGTCGGTGGAATGTCTCCATATATCCAAAGGTTTAATGTATATCGACCTGTATACATGCCCATCTATTTATATTCCTTCATATGAATGTATATACTGCATGATTGTAGGAAACAGTATCAGGCTGTAAGGTAATCGTGGTGTTGATCTTACCCTACGGGTCTCCCACTCCGCGGTAACTTCTAAGCCTAATCTCTGGTGTTATAGACAATCACAGAGCGTGTAATGCGTGCACCACCCGCTGAGGAGGGGGTAACCCTACACGAGGTTGTGTGTGTCTTATTCCAATATTCCCTGGCTTCATTGACACACTTTTGTGTACTTCAGGATTCCAACAATACCTCAACAAAAGTTTTTTTATCAACTCACCCAATGACATAGCGCTAATATTGTCGCTGTGTTTGTGACTGCAAAGGCAATTAAGTTTCATTTTACCGCGACTCTTTTGTGTCAAGTCCAAGGCTATATGGCAGTTGGTATATGGTAACACACAATGTCATTCTTTATTTGCCTTCACGCCCAATAACAGTACTTCTGTCTGAAAACAATTCTCGAGGCTATATTAATATTTTAATATACATATTGATATGTGGTCCTGTCAGTTGTATATAATATAGTTCGTGTTATCATGTCTAAAGTCAGTATCACGGGGTTCATGTTAACCTGCACACAGTCAATATTATAGGGTTCCTTCGAGTCGCCGTGTATATAGCCAATATTATAGGGTTAGTCTAGTCGTCATTCGCCACGTATAAAGTCAATATTATAGGGTTCGTCTTATCATCATGTATAGTCAATGTTATAGGGTTGTCATGTATATAGTCAATATTATAGGGTTCCGTCTAGTCGTCGTGTATATAGTCAGTATTTTAGGGTTCCGTCTAGTCGTCATGTATATAGTCAATATTAAAGGTTTCCGTCTAGTCGTCATGTATAAAGACAATATTATAGGGTTCGTCTTATCGGCATGTATAGTCAATATTACAGAGTTGTCATGTATATAGTCAATATTATAGGGTTCAATCTAGTCGTCGTGTATATAGTCAATATTATAGGGTTCCGTCTAGTCGTCATGTATATAGTCAATATAATAGGGTTCCGTCAAGTCGTCATGTATAGTCAATATTATAGGGTTCCGTCTAGTCGTCATGCATATAGTCAATATTATAGGGTTCCGTCTAGTCGTCGTGTATATAGTCAATATAATAGGGTTCCGTCAAGTCGTCATGTATAGTCAATATTATAGGGTTCCGTCTAGTCGTCATGCATATAGTCAATATTATAGGGTTCCGTCTAGTCGTCGTGTATATAGTCAGTATTATAGGGTTCCGTCTAGTCGTCATGTATATAGTCAATATCATAGGGTTCCGTCTAGTCGTCATGTATATAGTCAAAATCATAGGGTTCCGTCTAGTCGTCATGTATATAGTCAATGTCATAGGGTTCCGTCTAGTCGTCATGTATATAGTCAATATCATAGGGTTCTGTCTAGTCGTCATGTATATAGTCAATATTAAAGGGTTCCGTCTAGTCGTCATGTATAAAGACAATATTATAGGGTTCGTCTTATCGTCATGTATAGTCAATATTACAGAGTTGTCATGTATATAGTCAATATTATAGGGTTCCGTCTACTCGTCGTGTATAGAGTCAATATTATAGGGTTCCGTCTAGTCGTCATGTATATAGTCAATATTATAGGGTTCCGTCTAGTAGTCATGTATAGTCAATATTATAGGGTTCCGTCTAGTCGTCATGTATATAGTCAATATTATAGGGCTCCGTCTAGTCGTCGTGTATATAGTCAGTTTTATAGGGTTCCGTCTAGTCGTCATGTATATAGTCAATATTATAGGGTTCCGTCTAGTCGTCATGTATATAGTCAATATCATAGGGTTCCGTTTGATCGTCATGTAATATGTCAATATTATTGGGTTCATGTTATCGTCTTGTATATCGTCAATATCACGGGTTCGTCTTATCATGTATATAGTCCATATTATTGGGTTCATGTTATCGTCATGTATATCGTCATTATCACGGGGTTCGTCTTATCATGTATATAGTCAATATTGTTGGGTTCGTGTTATCGTCATGCATATAGTCAGTATTCTTCGGTTCGTGTTATCATGTATAAAGTCAGTATTATTTGGTTCGTGTTATCAAGTATATAGTCAGTATCACGGGGTTCGTGTTATCATGTATGTATTCAGTATTCTTGGGGTTCATGTTATCATGTATATAGTCAGTATTATTGGGGCTCATGTTATCATGTATATAGTCAGTATTTTGGGGCTCATGTTATCATGTATATAGTCAGTATTTTGGGGGTTCGTGTTATCATGTGATAGTCAGTAGTATGAGGTTCATGTTATAATGCACATTGTCAGTATCATGGGGTTCGTATTATCGTCATGTATATAGCCAGTATTATTGGGTTCGTGTTATGTCTACAGTCAGCTTATGAGGTGTATATTACTGAGGTTTAAAGAATCATTGTGCGATATTGGCAAGTGTGGTGCTTCATACATTGTGTTTATGCAACCATGACTTAAAACTTGCATAGCAATTGTTATGTAATAATTGGACAATCAACACATCTGGCGTTAGTGGCATGTGTTAATAGTCAGCCATACGTTAATATACTCATGTGTTAATAGTCAGCACATATGGTAATATACTCATGTATTAATAGTCAGCCATACGTTAATATACTCATGATTTAATAGTCTGCACGTATGGTAATATACTCATGTGTTAATAGTCAGCCATACGTTAATATACGTTAATATAATAAATGTATTATAGTTCATAAATGTGGTAATATGGTTACATTATGGTCAATACATTTGATAATCCAATTATGTGTAATAGACCATACATGTGGTAACATAATTATGCGTTTGTGTTCATAAAAGTGGTAGTATAATTATGTGTTATAGTCCACATATTTGGTAATATAATTATATGTTCTAGTCCATATATGTGGTAATATAATTATGTGTTATAGTCCATATATGTGGTAATATAAATATGTGTTATAGTCCATATATGTGGTAATATAATTATGTGTTATAGTCCATATATGTTTAATATAATTATGTGTTCGAGTCCATATTTGAGGTAATATAATCATGTGTAATAGTCCATATATGTGGTAATATAAATATGTGTTATAGCCCATATATATGGCAATATAATTATGTGTTATAGTCCATATATGTGGTATTATAACCATGTGTTATAGTATAAACAGGTGGTAATATAATTATGTGTAATAGTCCATATATATGGTAATATAATCGTTTGACTATAGTCCATATATGTGGTGATATAATTATGTGTTGTAGACCATATCTGTGGGTGGTATTATAATCATGTATTATAGTATAAACAGGTGGTAATATAATTATGTGTTATAGTCCATATATATGGTAATATAATCGTTTGACTATAATCCATATATGTGGTGATATAATTATGTGTTGTAGTCGATATACGTGGTATTATAATCATGTGTTATAGTATAAACAGGTGGTAATATAATTATGTGTTGTAGTCCATATATGTGGTGATATAATTATGTGCTGTAGTTCATATATGTGGTATTATAATCATGTGTTATAGTATTAACAGGTGGTAATATAATTATGTGTTGTGGTCCATATATGTGGTGATATAATAATGTGTTATAGTCCATATATTTGGTTTTACAGACGCGTGTTATAGTCGACACATATATTGGTATAACCATGCGTTATACACATTACGATAATGACTGGGCAGACATTATCAAAACTTCGCATGGTTGAAGATTTGAGAGTGAAAACGGATTTAACCCAACCTCATTTATCCACTCACCTATACTCTCAAATTGAAAAAAAACAATCGTGAATAACATCATATAATCAACAGGAATGTAACAATGCCATACATAAAGCTTTAGCAATGCCTTGATAAGGTAGCGGTATCACATCAGGCTTAATTTGACACCATAATAATGATAATCACAATATATAATAACAGCAACATATCATAAATATGCATTAAATCCCAATTTGATATTTCAGTCCAAGAAAGGCAACGACCCCTCACCTGTGTGTTCTAGCTCCAGGGTGGAAGGTGAGGATATCCAGCCACGTATGCTGGCCTGTGTCGGGACGTTCAGTGATATCCAGCCACAAAAGAGAGGACTCCCAGTGCGAGATTGGTGCACCAGTTCTCCTCCGACTTAGTCACCCTCCCACATGGGCGCGTTTGATAGAGCTGATTGGATCATGTCAGCTCACCTTGTGCCGAGCTACACATCTGGGCGCAATTATTTAAGCTGCTTTGGCTACAGGTTTAAATCGGAAGTTACCTGGATGTCGAGGACTTACTTGAAGTGAACGGCTATCACTGAATGAATGCACCTAACGTTGCCAGTGTATGGGTCGAAACGGTCCTCTACTCAACCTTGAGTGGGACTCGAGATCACCATGGCGTACATGATTAACCAGCGGGTGTTGACAGAGTCAGACTAATCATAGTGCAGGGTTATAAAGTTGCATAAGCCAACTGAGAGCATATAGAAGGGTCCGTCTTTGTAGAAACTAGAGATATACAGTACTTAGTATCAGCGTATGGTGTCCACTTGATACTTGAAGTCAGGTAACTGTCACCTGATAAAACTCGGACTGATGTCACTGGCGTGTGAATTAAAGTATTCATGCGGACGATGTAAATACAAGCGACATAATCCTTCCCATAAACAAGAAATCTTTGCTAAAGGCAGAATCCTTTGTACGATTCCATTAGTGTAAAGCATGAAATTAACGTGTCTATAAATTAATGCGATTGTTGACCCCTACCCTATAAGGCGTATTAGTGCGAAGTGGTCCTTGTTATTTAAACAATTGCTACTTAATCAGCAAAACAGCACTAAGAGATAAGATGCCGGTTAGTGTGGAGTATTCGCTGTATGTAGAGTGTTTTCACATACATGAAAGAATAACAATCCTGACCATAAATGAAAATTTGTGTTTCACGAAAAAAGAAATATATGACATGTTAACGATTGTTCATTCATGTTTGTTTCAGGAGCATCGATTATTTAAAGAGTATGAATTTACTCGCAGAACGTGGGTGGACATTATCAAAATCTAAATCGATCCTTCAAGGATCTCAATGTCGGACCACAATTACCGCCATAATTACAATACGCTACAGACCACTGGTAAACATAATAACAGCTTGGTGTCTTCATCACAAAGAACGGGGTTAATAACTGTCCTTTTTGAAGTTCTCTGGAAATGCCTTTACTTAAGAGGAATTTTCTTCATAAGATGTTTTGGGATGCAGGCTTACAGGTTATGTGTTGCAGACATATACTTGAGATTTAGTCGAAATCGCAAAGTGGGCTTTTTGTAGAGATTTCTTATGATTATGGACAGTTTTGTCGCTTTAGTTTACATGTGTTTGTATAAATACCGCTTATTCATTGTACCGTTATGTTGTATAGGCTGGTAGCTGCATGCTTCCGCTTGTGGAGTAACAAGTCATTCATGTCAACCATTATGTATTTCACATGTACCCTGAATACGTTAACTTAAGGTTTATTAAATTGCACCACCTGTAATTATATTGTAGGTAAATGTTCATCAATCCTATATCTCCATGCGGACATCTACATAAAAGCAACCAAACCCTTTTCATAATCAAACCAAATCTTCAAACGAGTCCTTTGTACGATTCCGACTACAGCGGAAACATGTGTTTATGAATCACTATCAAATATTCATGACACCAGGTGTTCGCGAACAGGTGAGCACAGCTTAAGGTGATACACACATAATTGGCATGTGAATATGTATCACCAGTAACGCTGAAATGCTTTAAGTATAATTATACTAGCAGGTACATTAGAGCTGACAATGTCTTGGATGAAACTTTTAGTGGCGATATACGACTTGCGTATTCATCAACAGCTGCCCTTCTTGTAGTGTCAGTAAGTAGCTGAAGATTACATACCAATTTGGAAACGAAAGAATACTGATTATGTCCTAGCATCTGACGTCTTTAAAAAAGATAACCTGATTAAGACTGATCACATCGCAATACGGTCTGAAACATTATCGTTACTAAAGTTTGTTTAGTGATGTGATAAATGTGACCCGACCATTGGGACCGTTATCTGATATGTTATAAACGATATACGTGGCACTGGCAAGAAATTAATTCCAAATTCACTTAATTGTCCACCATCTCCACACAAAGGTTTTTTCTCAGAATATTGACTTAATTCTTGGATTACATTATTACTCCCTTGCCACTTTTCGTCACCACAGCAACCATGGAAAAGTTTGTAATTGGATAACGTCTCTCGGTCAGCGAAAGACCGTTAAGTGATTGCGCGATACGACTTCTGTCCAAAACTCATATCAATCTTTGCGCTGGATTACTAAATGATATTAAAGCTAAAGAAATATTGCAATAAATGTTTCACTTTCACGTCAGTGCTATAGATTTCTCAAACCACATAATTTCAGGTTAGTTTCTGGACAGTTTTTGTGGTATTTCTTCACAAATTATGTGTGTACCATGTGTCCATCATAAATGCTAATTGTTGACTACTCGACTTTCATCAATTACAATGCATATAACACGTGTCTCAAAGTCACTCCATAGACGTCAGTTCGGTCTCTGTGGCGCAATCGGTTAGCGCGTTCGGCTGTTAACCGAAAGGTTGGTGGTTCGAGCCCACCAAGGGACGCACTTGTGTTTTGTCAACTTGAATGACTGATATTTCTCCCTTTCACGTTTTACAGATGAACACAGATGAGCGCAAATACCTGCTACAATATGCTGATATCAACTTCAAGCTAGCTCATGATACAAAGAAGATATTCATTAATGTCAGCTCGTCATCTCTTAAACATCCCAATCGGCAACAACAACTTTCACACGCACAATTGGAATAAAATCTAGTGGTAACTCGTTTTACATTTCCCTCGTCTGTCAGCTTCCAATGTGGTCTAGTGGTTAGGATTCCTGGCTTTCACCCAGGCGGCCCGGGTTCGATTCCCGGCATTGGAACAATGTACATCACGCGTTTCTCAGTGAACGGTATGCACGCACCAACAGTCCCTCTGTGAATGATATTCACCATCTTCCCGAGGCAAGGGAGTTAATTGACTATAAAAGTCCAGTTACCACTCTTGCCAAACTAGGCTGGAATTATGGAGTTATACTTTGGCTGGACAAACGACTTTATGCATACTCCAATCAAAATCGCATGACGAAATCGGTCCATTGTAGGATTTGCAAAGCATGTGAACCGCCAACTTATCATCAGCAGATCTGTTTTTATGTTTGTAGTCAAGGTGTTCACGTGATTTGAAACATTTAGCGTAGTGAGACCCGTTTTATTACAACATGGATCTTGATTACGGATCAGGTCGTCTTCACTGGGCGCCGCCATTTTGTTGAAAGCAAATGTAAGTGATATCATAGGTGGAATCTTATTGGTCAATAAGAGGGAAATAGAAGGAGCATAAATCGTAATAGACACTGATAGCACTATGTTCGAGCCCAGAAATTCCAGCTTAGTTCGGCAAGGGTGGAAACTGGACTTTTAGAGTCAGTTAACTATCTGCCTCGGGAAGATGGATGGATATTCACATACAACGTGTCCCTATCTGAATGTTATCCATGGACCGTGTATACAGGAACCAACTGTCCCTCAGTGAATGTTATACATACACAACGTGTCCCCAGTGAATGTTATACATACACAACGTGTCCCCAGTGACGTTATACATGCACCACGTGTCCCCAAATGAATGTTATACATACACAACGTGTCCCCAGTGACGTTATACATGCACCACGTGTCCCCAGTGATGTTATACATACACAACGTGTCCCCAGTGATGTAATACATACACGTGTCCCCAGTGATGTTTTACATGCACCACGTGTCCCCAAGTGAATGTTATACATGCACCACGTGTCCCCAAGTGAATGTTATACATACACAACGTGTCCCCAGTGACGTTATACATGCACCACGTGTCCCCAAGTGAATGTTATACATACACAAGGTGTCCCCAGTGACGTTATACATGCACCACGTGTCCCCAAGTGAATGTTATACATACACAACGTGTCCCCAATGATGTTATACAAACACAACGTGTCCCCAGTGATGTTATACATACACAACGTGTCCCCAGTGATGTTATACATGCACCACGTGTCCCCAAATGAATGTTTTACATACACGTGTCCCTAGTGATGTTATACATACACAACGTGTCCCCAGTGATGTTTTACATGCACCACGTGTCCCCAAGTGAATGTTATACATGCACCACGTGTCCCCCAGTGAATGTTATACATGCACCACGTGTCCTCAGTGAATGGTATACATGCACCACGTGTCCTCAGTGAATGGTATACATGCACCACGTGTCCTCAGTGAATGGTATAGATGAACCACGTGTCCTCAGTGAATGGTATACATGCACCACGTGTCCCCCAGTGAATCTTATACATGCACCACGTGTCCTCAGTGGATGTTATACATGCACCACGTGTCCCCATGTGAATGGTATACATGCACCATATGTCCTCAGTGAATGTTATACATGCACCACGTGTCCTCAGTGAATGGTATACATGCACCACGTGTCCTCAGTGAATGTTATACATGCACCATGTGTCCTCAGTGAATGGTATACAAGCACCACGTGTCCTCAGTGAATGGTATACATGCACAACGTGTCCTCAGTGAATGTTATACATACACAACGTTTCCCCAGTGAATGGTATACATGCACCACGTGTCCTCAGTGAATGGTATACATGCACCACGTTTCCCCAGTGAATGGTATACATGCACCACGTGTCCCTCAGTGAACGTTATACATGCACCACGTGTCCCCCAGTGAATGTTATACATGCACCACGTGTCCCCCTGTGTATGTTATACACGCACCACATGTACTCAGTGAATGTTTTACATGCACCACGTGTCCTCAGTGAATGTTATACATGCACCACGTGTCCCCCAGTGAATGTTGTACATGCACCACGTGTCCTCCAGTGAATGTTATACATGCACCACGTGTCCTCCAGTGAATGTTATACATGCACCATGTGTCCCCCAGTGAATGTTTTACACGCACCACGTGTCCTCAGTGAATGTTATACATCCACCACGAGTCCCCCTGTGAATGTTATAAACGCACCACGTGTCCTCAGTGGATGTTATACATGCACCACGTGTCCCCAAGTGAATGGTATACATGCACCACGTGTCCTCAGTGAATGTTATACATGCACCACGTGTCCTCAGTGAATGGTATACATGCACCACGTGTCCTCAGTGAATGTTATACATGCACCATGTGTCCTCAGTGAATGGTATACAAGCACCACGTGTCCTCAGTGAATGGTATACATGCACAACGTGTCCTCAGTGAATGTTATACATACACAACGTTTCCCCAGTGAATGGTATACATGCACCACGTGTCCTCAGTGAATGGTATACATGCACCACGTTTCCCCAGTGAATGGTATACATGCACCACGTGTCCCTCAGTGAACGTTATACATGCACCACGTGTCCCCCAGTGAATGTTATACATGCACCACGTGTCCCCCTGTGTATGTTATACACGCACCACATGTACTCAGTGAATGTTATACATGCACCACGTGTCCTCAGTGAATGTTATACATGCACCACGTGTCCCCCAGTGAATGTTGTACATGCACCACGTGTCCTCCAGTGAATGTTATACATGCACCACGTGTCCTCCAGTGAATGTTATACATGCACCATGTGTCCCCCAGTGAATGTTTTACACGCACCACGTGTCCTCAGTGAATGTTATACATCCACCACGAGTCCCCCTGTGAATGTTATAAACGCACCACGTGTCCTCAGTGAATGTTATACATCCACCACGAGTCCCCCTGTGAATGTTATAAACGCACCACGTGTCCTCAGTGAATGTTATATATGCACCACGTGTCCCCCAGTGAATGTTGGACATGCACCACGTGTCCTCCAGTGAATGTTATACATGCACCACGTGTCCGCAAGTGAATGTTATACATGCCCCATGTGTCCTCCAGTGAATGTTATACATGCACCATATGTCCCCCAGTGAATGTTTTACACGCACCACGTGTCCTCAGTGAATGTTATACATCCACCACGTGTCCCCCTGTGAATGGTATAAACGCACCACGTGTCCTCAGTGAATGTTATATATGCACCACGTGTCCCCCAGTGAATGTTAGACATGCACCACGTGTCCTCCAGTGAATGTTATACATGCACCACGTGTCCTCCAGTGAATATTATACATGCACCACGTGTCCTCAATGAATGGTATACATGCACCACGTGTCCCCCAGTGAATGTTATACACGCACCACGTGTCCTCAGTGAATGTTAGACAGCACCACGTGTCCCCCAGTGAATGTTATACACGCACCACGTGTCCTCAGTGAATGTTATACATGCACCACGTGTCCTCAGTTAATGTTATACATGCACCACGTGTCCTCAGTGAATGGTATACACGCACCACGTGCCCACAGTGAATGTTATACATGCACCACGTGTCCTCAGTGAATGGTATACATGCACCAAGTGTTCCCCAGTGAATGGTATACATGCACCACGTGTCCCCCAGTGAATGGTATACATGCACCACGTGTCCCCTAGTGAATGGTATACATGTTCCACGGAAGCGTCTCTCAGTTAATACAATACCTATATCCGTCGTATCCCAGTCAATTTTATTCGCATCTGTAACTGTAGCTGTATCAATGGACAGTATGCGCCTCATTGGACGAGACACTTCGAGTTATTTGTACAAGAAGCGCTAATAAAATCCTCTATTAACTTCGGTCGTGCTGTGTAACGATGTCGACCAGTCGACGCCCGGTGGTGACGGAAGGCGCGGTCAGGGATATCCTCCAGACCCACTACCTGCTGGAGGTGAAGGGCGTGCGTCAACTGGACTCGTTTATGGACAGGAACTACAAGGTGACATCTGCTGATGGACGCGAGTTCGTTCTGAAAATAGTCAACCCTGACGAGTCGGACAATGACCAGCGGGTACAAGCACAGCTAGGTGTAGTGAACCATTTGCGGGGACATGGCTTCACTTGCCCAGCATCGGTCGTCAACAAAAATGGATTACATACTTGGAAGTCAACCTTCCCCATCGGACAGGCAGGTAGGTTATCACTGTGTAACGTGGAGTCTCACTGTATGATAGTGAGGGGGAAAGCTGAAACGGTAGGGCACGATAATTAGGCCATGTGCTACTTTACATTGAGAGAATGATATATGATTATATATGGAACTTTCTTAAAACAGACAGTTTATTGAAAAAATGACTGTCAGTTGACTAAGCCCATCAACAACATCAAGCTTTCGGCATTTCATGTAACTGTGCAGGGCGGAAGCGAGACAACGTGCGGCAAGGGAAGTAACTCCCGTTACTAGCTTCTTAAAAATATGGCGCTATTCTTAGTTTTTGTTTGTTTAAATTGTTTGTTGTTTAACGCCGAACTCAGCAATATTCCAGCTAAATGACGGCGGTATGTAAATAATCGAGTCTGGAGCAGACAATCCAGTGATTAACATCATGAGCATCAATGGGGATACAATGACATGCATCAACCAAGTCAGCGAGCCTGACCACTCGATCTCGTTAGTCGCCTCCAACGACCAGCATAGTCGCCAGTTACGGCAATGGGATGCTGAAGACCTATTCTACCCCGGATCTTCACGGGTCCTATTCTAAGTTTTTTGTTTGTTTGTTGTTTAACGCCGCACACATTATTCTATGAGTACTACTCCGAGCAACTTGTGATGAACGCGTTATGTATTTTACGGCGGCCATTCAGTCTAAAAATACAAAGTTGAAATAAAGGACACCAGTACGCAATAATTAAGAATTTGACTGTGTATTTTTTTCGGTTCAATGAAGAATGAATCGAATAGCCGATGTGCAAACTGTATGAATCCGCGTACGAAAGATGTTCTGTGCGAAAATTTACATTCGATAGGAAAAATAGCTTGCCATAAATGAGGTTGACACAGTGCGCAATTCTCGCCCAACGTTCTCTTTCCCAAATGTTATGAAAATGTGCATCTGAAACATAACTCGGCATCATAACACATTCGTGTTGCACCAAGCGAAAAGGCCCTTTCCAGGTGAAGATGCACAAACGCAACATACAAAATATCTACATTATACATTATATATATTATAACTTGTCCATGAAGAGATCACCCGTTTAATAAACATACAGCTGTATCACACATTGTGTAATACCAAAGCACGTGTTAATGTACTCCGGGAAGAAGTTTCACAAACAAATATTGAAAACTCTCAACATCCCGGGGCTCATTCAACGACATTGTGTATAGAGATGATAGATCACCTAAAGGAGCTCTTGGACACTCGATGACCCCAGCAACGCTGTTGCTAGGCTGACGTCACATGGCATTGTTTTGCCGGTGGATCTTGCAACAAAATTTCACAAATTACGTCATAGGGTATTGTGACGTGATTGTAACCTTTGTGGTGCAGGACCCCGTTCCACAAGGCGATCGTAGTGCTGCGAAACTTGTACGTCTGGGTATATGGGAGTTATTGACAATCTTAGTGCTGCGATAACTTTCTGGAAAGGAGCCCTGCATTCTTAAGGTGGGCCGTTGCATAGTATTAGATTAATACGTGTCAACTGTTGACGTGTTTGAAGTTCTGCTTTTTACACTCAATTGGATTGTGCTGTGGATCGCGTAGATGTCTGCCAATATTCACACACTACATTGAAATTCTAAAAAAATAGTTTTAAACGGCAAGTAATACATAAAATACTAAACGAGCTCCCGTGTAATACCAATTTAATGAAACTCGTGAATAGTTCTGGCATCACTCGTTTCATAAAATTGGTATTACACGGGCGCTCGTTTAGTATTTTATTTATTACTCGTGAAGCTCGTGAAGAGTTCTTGTATCTGACTCGCTTTCTCTCGTCAGATACCAGAACCATTCACTCGTTTCATAAAATTGGTATTACACGTGAGCTCGTTTAGTATTCTATATATATGTGACGTCAGGCGGTTGGTGCACGGGGAATAACGTAATACATTGTGCACCTCGGCATGCAGTATACACAGCGGAACAAGCCGATTAAACTTAGAATGTTCTACAAATTGCAGGGCCATCTGGCGTTCTTTACTGTCCACGTACTTTAGTAGTTTAGTGTCCTTTCGTGCGCACTGACGTTCTTTAGTACCTATTGTTCTTTCTTTTCATATTCCGTCATTATGTAATATTTGACTATTTTTGCGTAATTTTGACCTTTATTTTTACTTTGTATGTTTTGACCGAATGGCCGCCCATAGTATTTGAACTGGATCGGGTTTTCCTCCCACATTAAGCTGATACGCCGTGATATGACTGGAATCCTGTTAAAAGCGGCCTTAATCCCAACTCACTCACTCACGTTGCGACTTGAAATGCAATGAGTGCACTTTATTTCTCAGCTGCTCTGAATCAATCATTCCTCACTTCGTGCTGAGATTCGTCAGATGAGGAAAGGGTCAGAAGTGTTCCGACTTGTTGAAATTTAATTAAAGGTTCAGTACCAGGGAAGTCAGTGAGTAGGGTTTAACGCCGCTCTTAACAGTATTCCACTTGCATCACGGTGTGTCATCTTAATGTGGGAGGAAAGCCAGAAGTGATGCAGGCCTAGACGTTTACCACTTCGTTGAAACCCACGAGCACGGGTATGGTGCTGACGAACCTAGAAACATAATGTTAGCGAACCGGGATACGAACCCACAATCATAGGTTCCTGACGTACCCAAAGGACGCAACTCTGCACAGCGAATTGCGGCCCCTATAGTCGACTTGGCCACCCGTTCCCTCACCAGGGAAGTGAACCGATCCTTCTAATACTCATTTTTCATCTCTTCAATGCCATGAACAGATGGTCCAGAAGAATCGTGCGTGGTCCGCCTGATGACGTTTCTTCCCGGAGAACCACTTGGCCGGTGCCACCATCTGTTCTGCGGGGAGATGTACAAGTGTTTGGGGGGTTTCCTGGCGCAACTACATGCAGCACTGCAGGTGATATCAGCGGAGATTATTACACCATGCGGTCGTGCTACTTGAGGGTTTTACCATTGGTAAAGTCCTGTGGATTAAACCTGAAATAAACAACTCGTGATAAAGAGAGGTAGAGTGAGTCCAGACTGACGCCTTGAGTGTTTAATTTAACTCTGAGTGCGTTGCGGTTGGGTGGCATCTGATAACAGCTGTTTCAATATTTCCCTTGACGAAGAACGAGGTGCCTGCGGTACCTTGATGTGCAATGAAACACCGATAATCAGGACTGTACCCGATACACCTAGATTAATGATATATCGGTATGGACGTGGTTCATGTGGTGAGGTGAAGTAGGGTTTAACGTCACTTTCAAGAGTGTTGCACTTATGTTGCGACCTGCATGCACCTATGTGTGGCTGCCTGTACTAGTCTAAACTACTGCCGTTTTTTTAGTATTTGCCAACTGAGATACCATGCTTCAGTTTAACATGATTATATACTCAGACTAAGTATACTCCGAGCCGACCAGTCCTTGTGTATCCCCTTGATACCGAGCGCCAGGCAGGGTAACAACAATTACCATCTTTTAACGTATTTTGGTATAGCGCGGCCGGCAATCGAACCATCGATCTTTCCGCTTGTCGAGCACAGACGCTGTGTCCACAAGACCACGGAGAAGATCTACATGTGTATAGCATATAAACGTAATTAAATTGTTGTTCTATTCTTTTGTAATATATGTTTGAGGATGGTAAGTTTCAAACATACACATTTCAGGTATATTAATTAAATGTTAATAACAAATAGCATATATATAATTATACTGATATGCCATTTGTGGTCATTTTACATAAACTTAAATGTCACCCATAATCCAATGGTCACGGTGTTAGATGCATGTTCTGGTAATAGTATCACGTGACGGTCACGTGATCTCATCTCTTAATTATCAGAAATTATCAAACAGCAGGGCATCATGCGGGCTTTTCGTATACCTGTTGTAACATAAAGATTGTCACACATACATGTGCTTCTTCTCAATGTGATAATCGCAAAGAGTTTTATTTGCATTGTTCACATTTTATACCTAATGTCTGTCACTGGTCGGAGGGGGATCGGGTAGCCTAGTGGTTAAAGCGTTCCCTCGTCACGCCGAAGACCCGGTTCCTGACATGGGTACAGTGTGTGAAGCCCCTTTCTGGTGTCCCCCGCCGTGATATTGCTGGAATATTCTGAAAGCGACGTAAAACCATATTCACTCACTGGTCGGCAAATGTAGGTCCAATGTCATCTACACTTAAAAATTATTTCTAAACTATATCTAGTTCGATCTTGATAGGGTGATGACGTCCATTCTTTTTGTGGGCTGGTATTTGTACATAATTGGTTCAATAGTGGAGCATTGAATAACGTGATTTACAAACTTCAAAATGTCAACACCAGAAAATAATCAGTCTTGGGTCACTGCCTTAACAGCTTCCATGGTGCGTCAAAGTCAAAGCAATGACACCAGGCGTCCACGACAAGCATGGCTCTACCGGTAGTATTCACACAATTCGCATAAGGACATTTATGTCTATTTTTAGGTATATTGATAGATTCAGGATCACATCAATTGAGTCGAACTAGGACCGGACGAATAAATGAGAGATTGATGAAGATAGCTATCACGGGGGATTAGAGTTGTGCTAGTACTCCTTACTCTATCTGTCTCTCATACATGATAGCATAACTCCCACACTAAATTGAGATGGAGCCAATGTCGGAAATAGCATCTGTCTGGTGAATATTAGAGATGTTGATTACAGATTAAACCTTGGCCAGTAGATGAAAGCCAGCAATATACCAATCTAGGTTTTAAGGAACATGATTTACTTTGTATTGCTTTCATGGTAATGACAATATTGATTTCTATATAGAATTCAGGATTACACTGGTCTTGCTACTTGTGTAGTTCTCAAATATCATCTCAATATTGAAACACTTTACACAGCGTATGGACGGGCCAGTGTTTTAGAAAGCCTTAATACAAAATGGAAATAAAGCCATATTTACAAACAATATTCAAGAGTGTTAGATAAACCGGTTAGTAACTCTGTAAATGTTCGAGTTTGAGTGAGTATTGCTTTACGCCGATTTTAGTAATAGTCCAACAATATCACGACGGTGGACACCAGATATAGGCATCATACATTGTACCAATGTGGGGAATCGAACCCGGGCATTCAGCGTGACGAGCGAACACTTTAACCACTAGACTACTCCACCGCTCTTCGGGTTTGGACCATTGTATTCATTGACATTCTGCTCAACAATATAGATGGTCAGTGTGCGATAACGCACAAGCAGCCAGGAAGCCTTAGGCCCCGCAATTCGCTGTACAGAGTTGAGTCCCTTGGGCACACAAGAGGCCTATGATTGTATGTTCGAATCCCGATTCGCCCCGATTATGTTTCTAAGTTTGATTTCACCAAAGTGGCAAACGTCTGACACCTGCACTAATTCGGACTTTCCTCCCACATCAAGCTGACACGTAACGCCGTCATATGACTGGAATAATGTTAAAAGCGGCGTGAAACCCAACTCACTTATCGTATCCCCATTTTTATATTTTTCTTCCGGCGGATAGTGAGGTTCCTATTCTGGCCCGAGTTCATCACATGGAAGCATTACTCGAAAGGTTAATGCTGCCAGTGGACATTGAAAGGTTAATGGTCAACACGTGAGAACTGTAATCACTGGACGACGCAAAATGACTATGTACTTTATGTATATTTCACACTTCATTAAAAAAACAGCACACTGCTGTATATTTGCACGAACAACGTTGTACCAAAGACGTATATAGATCGTATATACGTCTTTGGTTGTACCTTAACTTCTAGCGTTACATGTGTGGAGTGTGTGTTTTTTTGGTTTTTTAATTTTTTATTATTGACTGTTCGTTTCGGCACCGGATTTAAATTTGCATTTTTTTCAAACGATAATGTTCTGACCAGGAAGATAGATCTTCACTGGTCTTTTGATGTTCTGGTCACCGTCTTCATCCCTTGCCACAGGACCACCCTGAGTCCGGCCTCACGCTGGACGGTCACAATGAGTGGATGGCGGAGAATGCTGGTCGTCTGCTTCAGTTTATATCGTCCCTGGAGGTAACTACAAGTATATCCACAGAAGGCTAATTGTTGTATAAATGCTCACTACCTTCCCAAGCAAAAATATATTTTTATTAACCTCTCAGCATGAACAATCACCACGCTCAGTGTTGCCCGGAAATAAAGGACGCTTATAGTCATGTTACAGTTTGCCCCGTACTTTACAAATCAGTAAAAATAGTACCATGGCACTGTAGCTCACCTGAATGTGAAGTCAGCAGTTTCAAATATCAATAAAGACAGACACAAAGTTAATGGCATTATTGGTATTGGAAACGGATTAAACACGTACGCCAAAATCTAATGATGTTTCGATATGCCTTGTGACAGAATTTTAGAGTATTGCCAAAACAAGTCAAACTCTAAAATATCGCCAAAAAGGAATTTTGTTGAAGGTAAACAAATGACAAAGTGGACAAAATAGCACATTAAGCACATTTGCATCATGCATATATACGTCAAGCATATATACACGAAGCACATTTATATTAATCACATTTGCATCATGCATAATTATATACAATCCTATATTCATCAAGCATATGTTCGTATAGCTCTTGTAGGTCAATCCTATATATATCAAGCATATAAACATGAAGCACATTACGTCAATTAAGAATTGACCTTCACTTTGTGCGAGTTCATTGGAGTATGAACCTTCATAGAGTGAGGGCCAAACTGTATCAACGTCGGAGCTTGCATGAATTGACAGACATGATTGAGTAAGACAAACGTATGTTGTATGAGAATTGAATGTTTCATAATCTTTTTCACGACAGGAAGAGAAAATGTCCCGAGACATCTGTTCAGTGATAAAGAATGTTGAATCTTCGCTGAAGGAGAGAGGGCATGCCATGGAGCGAGGTAAGGCAAAATCCGTTGATAACTGAAGATTACTCTGGAACTGAAAGTCAGTTGTAACTTATTTGTCTCGTGTGGTTGATTTTTTTTATACCACTCGTGGTTTTACTTCAATATGGCCAATGTTATTGACACCAAGAGACTCCTCTCGCCGTCATAGCTGCGAGACAACATGACGACTTGTAAAAAAATATGATAAAACAGAATTTGACTATTTCTTGACTATAGTATTTCTTTTCTTCTGAAGTTTAACCTATACAAATCCCAACATGTTGTTTTTCTGAGAAAACATATGTCAAATTATGACCTAGTAACTATAAACTACTGTAACGTTTATTGAAGTAAAAACATATCAATTATACCTCCGATCAGGATCCTCTCCACTTAACCGCCTCCATACTGTGTGTATTGTTTAACACCGAAGTACATATTCCAGCTATATCACGGGGACCTATAAATAATCAATATTTTAATAATACGAGCAACGACCCAGATGTCGGACCGGGACATCGAATGTATAAAAAAAAAACAGTAGTACCGCGACATCGAAAAAATGGCTAGGGCCCGGGACATCGAATGGTCATAATCGCTGAAACAAAATTTGTCTTTGATTGACGCCGCACTAACAGAAATTCTTTCAATAGTGAATACATATGACTGCAGGAAGTTAAAAATGTGAGTAAAGTGTTTTACTGTTTTAGATGTTTGGTGTGATTAAACGCTTTGTGAGTTAACTGAGAAATTAATCTTAGATGTAACAGCAGAAGAACTGGGTGAGAGTAGATTTGCTTTACTGTTTTAGATGTTTGGTGTGATTAAACGCTTTGTGAGTTAACTGAGAAATTAATCTAAGATGTAACAGCAGAAGAACTGGGTGAGAGTAACTTTGCCTTACTGTTTTAGATGTTTGGTGTGATTAAACGCTTTGTGAGTTAACTGAGAAATTAATCTAAGATGTAACAGCAGAAGAACTGGGTGAGAGTAACTTTGCCTTACTGTTTTAGATGTTTGGTGTGATTAAACGCTTTGTGAGTTAACTGAGAAATTAATCTAAGATGTAACAGCAGAAGAACTGGGTGAGAGTAAAATACGTCGAACGATTTCACCTCCTTACTCGGTTCATATATTCGATGTCCCAGACCATGACCACGGTCCGTGCCGACGGGGTACGATGACATGCAACCAACCAAGACATTTGGACATGTTCTCCACATGTCCACCATTGAACATTTTGAAAGTTTTACTGAAGCATTGAATCTTGAAACCCTGTGACGTGAACACATCAACTTTTTGTTACAATATTGGCGATGGGGTAGCCTTGTGGTTAAAGCGTTCGCTCGTCACTCCGAAGACCAAGGTTCGATTCCCCACATTGGTACAATATGTGAAAACCATTTCTGGTGTCCCCCGCCGTGATAGTCCTGGAATATTGCTAAAAGCGGCGTAACACCATACTCATTCACTCGCTTGTTTCAAGCTTACCTCTTGTTTACATTTACACATCAACCCCTCGTTACAAATATTCCCCTGTTTCAGGTGTGATCCACGGAGATTTCAATGACTACAACATCATACTCCATCCAGTCACAACGGATTTCAAAGCATCTTGTGTAGATTCAAAGAAAACATTTGGAATAATCGATTTCAATGATATATGTTATACTTACCGAGTATTCGAGATAGGTCGGCTAATAGCTGATGCTATGACAAACTGTTGCTGCTCCGACCAGGAAGCCCTACAAATCGGGGGTCATGTTCTGGCTGGTTATCTGTCTGTCAGGCAGCTGTCCACTGAGGATGTGACAATGATATATGACGCAGTCTGCATCTCTTTCTGCCAGTATTATGTTCTTGGCATACACGCGATGTCCCAACAGACGGACAACCCCCACTGCTGCTTGGGAACTGCCGAGGCAAGACAATGGCTAGAGAGAGTGCTTGCATTGTCCAGTCAAGCCTTGTGGGAAATATGGACCCCACTACTATCGGAGTCTGGAATCAGCATGTAAAAGCAACTCTCAGGTGAATAAAGAAAAGTCTTTGTTGAAAAGCTTACACCAAATTGGTCAAATGTTGACTGTCCTTTTGTAGCATGTACTGAACTGGCCAATTCGACCAAGGGTTGAATTCTTCTTATTGTATTCACTAAATTCCAACAGTTGGTGCTTATTGTCGTTCCTTCCACTTAACCCGACACATAAGTCATTGCATATACATTTCATATACATATATTCTTGGATCAGTTTGTTCTCATCCCACATTGCCAATCAGAATAAAAGTCCACATATTACTTGGATTCATCTTGCAAAAGAAGAGTTCTTTAGACATCCAGTTGATGGTTATCTCAGAACCTCAGCCACTTCCCAGGGCAGATCAGAGATACTGTGTCAACAATTCACAAAGAACAGCCATTTCCCAGGGCAGTTCAAAGCCACTGTGGTATCAAGTTTACACAGAGGGAGCCATTTCCTAGTGCAGATCAAAGACAACAGTTCACATAGAGGGCAGCCATTTCCTAGAGCAGATCTAAGACACTGTGACAACAGTTCACATAGAGGGCAGACATTCCCAGGGCAGATCTAAGACACTGTGGCAACAGTTCACATAGAGGGCAGACATTCCCAGGGCAGATCTAAGACACTGTGGCAACAGTTCACATAGAGGGCAGCCATTTCCCAGGGCAGATCTAAGACACTGTGGCAACAGTTCACATAGAAGGCAGCCATTTCCCAGGGCAGATCTAAGACACTGTGGCAACAGTTCACATAGAGGGCAGACATTTCCCAGGGCAGATCTAAGACACTGTGGCAACACTTCACATAGAGGGCAGCCATTTCCCAGGGCAGATCTAAGACACTGTGGCAACAGTTCACATAGAAGGCAGTCATTTCCCAGGGCAGATCTAAGACACTGTGGCAACAGTTCACATAGAGGGCAGCCATTTCCCAGGGCAGATCTAAGACACTGTGGCAACAGTTCACATAGAAGGCAGTCATTTCCCAGGGCAGATCTAAGACACTGTGGCAACAGTTCACATAGAGGGCAGCCATTTCCCAGGGCAGATCAAAGACAACAGTTCACATAGAGGGCAGCCATTTCCTAGAGCAGATCTAAGACACTGTGACAACAGTTCACATAGAGGGCAGACATTCCCAGGGCAGATCTAAGACACTGTGGCAACAGTTCACATAGAGGGCAGCCATTTCCTAGAGCAGATCTAAGACACTGTGACAACAGTTCACATAGAGGGCAGACATTCCTAGGGCAGATCTAAGACACTGTGGCAACAGTTCACATAGAGGGCAGACATTTCCCAGGGCAGATCTAAGACACTGTGGCAACAGTTCACGTAGAGGGCAGACATTTCCCAGGGCAGATCTAAGACACTGTGGCAACAGTTCACATAGAAGGCAGCCATTTCCCAGGGCAGATCTAAGACACTGTGGCAACAGTTCACATAGAGGGCAGACATTTCCCAGGGCAGATCTAAGTCTCTGTGGCAACACTTCACATAGAGGGCAGACATTTCCCAGGGCAGATCTAAGACACTGTGGCAACAGTTCACATAGAGGGCAGACATTTCCCAGGGCAGATCTAAGACACTGTGACAACAGTTCACATAGAGGGCAGACATTTCCCAGGGCAGATCTAAGACAGCAGTTCACATAGAGGGCAGACATTTCCCAGGGCAGATCTAAGACACTGTGGCAACACTTCACATAGAGGGCAGACATTTCCCAGGGCAGATCTAGGACACTGTGGCAACACTTCACATAGAGGGCAGACATTTCCCAGGGCAGATCTAAGACACTGTGGCAACAGTTCACATAGAGGGCAGACATTTCCCAGGGCAGATCTAAGACACTGTGGCAACAGTTCACATAGAAGGCAGTCATTTCCCAGGACAGATCTAAGACACTGTGGCAACAGTTAACATAGAAGGCAGCCATTTCCCAGGGCAGATCTAAGACACTGTGACAACAGTTCGCATAGAGGGCAGACATTTCCCAGGGCAGATCTAAGACACTGTGGCAACAGTTCACATATAGGGCAGACATTTTCCAGTGCAGATCTAAGACACTGTGGCAACACTTCAAATAGAGGGCAGACATTTCCCAGGGCAGATCTAAGACTCTCTGGCAACACTTCACATAGAGGGCAGGCATTTCCCAGCGCAGATCTAAGACACTGGGGCAACAGTTCACATAGAGGGCAGACATTTCCCAGCACAGGTCTAAGACACTGTGGCAACAGTTCACATAGAGGGCAGACATTTCCCAGCGCAGATCTAAGACACTGGGGCAACAGTTCACATAGAGGGCAGACATTTCCCAGCGCAGATCTAAGACACTGTGCCAACAGTTCACATAGAGGGCAGACATTTCCCAGGGCAGATCTAAGACACTGTGGTAACAGTCTACACAGAGGGGACAGCTACTTCCTCTCAAAAAGAAAAACACAACATCCCTTAGGAACTTAGTAACTTTATTGTCATATTTCAAAAAAATATCAGTAAATTTGATAAACATAATACTGCAAAAATATCAGTAATGCTTCTTAAAATATGATGTAGGAAGAAGACATGTTTATTGTAAAACATATTAAATTAAAGATCTCATAAAAATACCTCAATACATTTTTTATGTACTCATAGTTTTGACAAGATACACACATGCCTGTAAGAAAGGATATGGGCTTATCAGGAGTTCAAAGCGAGAATTTATTCTTTCCAAACCCCTATTGGTTGAATACAGCTCCAGGAGTCACAGAAGTCTAAATCTTATCAGGCTCTGACTTACTGCTGACAATGGAGATGTACCATTTGTCTGTTGTCTACAGTGACAGCACAATCAAATTATCTGTATATCAGTGTATATAATATATATCAGTCTAACATCACATTGCCATATCTGTGGTATCACATGAAAACATGAAATGGTATCACACGCGACTAGATCACTGGTACATGAGATGGGTCAGCAAGTGCATATATCAGAGGTACAGTGCAAGGTCATTGAGTTAAACTATACACCTAACTATTGGCTTACTATAGACGAACATAAATATTCAAGCTATATGATGGCTGTGTAAATAATCCAGGCTGGACCAGACAATCCGGTGATTGATATCATGAGCAACACAATTGGGATACGATGACATGCCCTAAGCACATCAGCAAGCCTGACTACCCAATCCTTCTTACGACAAGCATATTCACCTGTTAGGGCAAGCATGGGTTGCTGAAGACCTATTCTAACCTGGATCTTCCCGGGTCCAGCGACTTAATGGATCGAGTTGACAGACTTTGTGACTTGGTCGGTTGTGTGTTGATCTCCATGGCATGGATTCACTGCCCATTACATCTATCACTGGATTGTATAGTAAGAGTTACACGCTTCATTCCGTATAGATAAGTATAACTTAACAATAGGTATTTATTACCTGCACATAAACAGTCTAAAATCTCATGCAATTCAACACTTTGGCTTCATCTTATAAAATCTCACTGTCTGGGTATTGTTGTTTGAAGTTCCACGAAGATCAGGCATAAATAGTGATACTACAAAAATACAAAAATGTAAACACAAATAGTGTATTGTGAATTGCATTGTGACCAATGTTTGTTTGTTTGTTTGTTTGTTGTTTAACGCCTCACTCAACAAAATTCCAGCTATATGACGGCATTCTGTAAATAGTCGAGTCTGGACCAGACAATCCAGTGATTAATATCATTAGCATCGATCCACGCATTTGGGTCACCAATGTATGTCCTAGATGAGCTACAATGTATTGTGACTTCAATGTATCCCTGAAGACTTCATGTTGGGGCATATAAGTGACAACTTCACCTGGTTCCATTTGGGGCAGATAAATATATCTTTGAACATCACATGGATATATTAAAGTTACATCAAAGGATTTCTATCATATGTATAATATACATAGCAAAATGTAATGGGTACATAATATAAAAACGTAAATTGTTTACGGAGCTACTTTAGCTCCTGTATAGATGTTGCAATGAGGGTAATGATTTAATCACATCATGGGCACAGCATATGACATTGACATTACTGTAAACACGTTAACAATCTGCTGTGAAATCACGTCCAAGCAGAGTCATGTCCAACTTGGAACAGTGCACACTCCAGCTGCTGCTCTCCAGCAGGACTTAAGGTTGCTCTCTCACAAGTCGCTTCAATGACTTTCTGCAGCGAGCATATGCATCATATGCTCCCTTGTCAACAGGGGTACACTTTCACGACTTGACCACAGATGTGTGGTCATGAATTCCACTCTTGGATTGATTTCTGGTACACCTTGACAGCAGCAAAAAATAATCTTGATCCAGAAAGCCCCCAAACCACACCAAAACCTCACCACCCACGAGAGACATGCCATGACTGCACTCCAGAAAGATAACACCATAACAGGAGCTGACAAAGGCAAAGCAGCTGTCGTCATGAACATCCTAGATTTCCTTCAGCTTGTCAACACCACCCTCTCTGACATGACCACTCACCTGACCATCCAGAAAGTCACACTGCTGAAGCAGAATGTCAACATAAGAAGACCCTGAAAGAGCTCCAGAAAACAGAGATAAATGACACTCCATCAATTCTCAAGCCCCATATGCATCAGTAACAGAATACAAGTTCCAGAGGATCTGTCTTCAACAACACCGCCCAGTACCTCTCATCAGCTGAAAGAAGCAAATCTCACAGGTACCATGGTCAGCTGATAACATCATTGACCTCTTCACCAACATCCCTCAACAAGAAGCCTTTGTCATCTTCCACAACCTCCAAACCAGAATTCACAACCTAGACCCTGAAGTCAAAGCATCATCAACCATGCCTCCAGTTGCTTCGACACTTCATATTTCACTTTCAAGACAAGATCTACAAGCAAATCCATGGACTGTCTACGGCTTCCCCTCTGTCTCCACCCATCACTGAAATCTTCATGGCATCTTTCAAAAAATCTGCCCTCTCTGCACCACATTTCCAACCCCTCTGCTGGTAACAGAAAGTAGACGACACATTCACCACCAGAACGACCCCACAGAACTCCTCAATAATCACAATGCCCAGCACCAGAGAAGCCAGTTCACCATGGCGACAGAAACCAATCAACACCTTCTCTTCCTAGACGTGTCCCTCCATACTACAGCAGATGGACTGAGAACATCAGTGTACCACAAGCCAACACACACACACAGTAGTACATCCACTACACCTCCTACCACCATTCCTTGATAAAACAAGCCATCACTGGCACACTCAACCAACGTGCCAAAGCCATTTGCCTCAACAGGGAACCGAACCACAACAAGAAATCCTTTACTTCCGTCAACAGTAACCAATGATAACCGAGCCACATAATCTCCAAAACATGACCCTCAAGAGCTCATTTTTGGGGGGAAAACACGACAGAAATCAACTTAAGATTTGATTTCAAGTTTTCAAGTTTTCGGGAAAACAAAGAGCTTGAAATATAGTACTTTCCTATAGCCCCATGATGCATATTCAGATCCAAATGCAGTTTAGCGCGGCTAAATCTACAGGTAACCACGCTCTACACTCAAAACACATTCTTCTTATCTCCTTATTAAATATATTAACATGATTAAGGGAAGATTCAGAAAATGCCGGACTTAAGATCAAGTAGCTTCAACACGACCTTGTTTCAGGTAGAACTAGGTCACGACTGCAGTAATAATAACCATAACAATCAAACCTTGAACAACTTTCCAGATCATTACATTTCATGTTAAGCCATTTAAAACACTCCTCAGTCAATAGTTTGATTACAGCCTCATCTATGATACATGTACAGGGCCACTATGACCAAGACAAACGCCAGGACATAATACATGTTGAGGGCCAACTGGAAGATGGCGACAGAGAACAGTGTTGTCACCAACATGGCGCAGGAGATGATGAAGAGACGTGTGATGTTGCTGCCGTGCTTCATGATGGCCGACATTATCAGCCCGTTGAAGGCCTGGAAGAAACATAACAAGTGACACAGACCTTAACATGCTTTTTGGGCCATGGGTTTATTGTACAAAAAACTTATCATCATATATATACCCGTTAATATGGATGGCAGAGTTCCAACTGAGGTGAGGTGAAACGGGGTTCAACATCACATCCAAGTTATTGCACTGTATAACTGTATAAGTTAACAATGGTGTTAATATTACTGCAACAATGTTCGAATCCCAGTTCGCCCCGATTATGTTTCTAGGTTTGTCAGCACCATACCCGTGCTCGTGGGTTTCACCTAAGTGGTAAATGTCTGAGACCTGCATCACTTTGGGCTTTCCTCCCACATTAAACTGACACGCCGTGATATAACTGGAATACTGTTAAACTCACTCACTCACTACTGCAACAATGCCTTAGGGCACATTATAGCCATTCGTGTGCTTTGGTATGAACAATATAGATAACATATGGATCATAAATGAACATATTTCAATTTTACATGGCACCCATTTCAACTCAACATGTTGCAGGTTCTAACATTAAACATGTAAGACCTGGTTGGCCTGTCCATACCTGAGTGACAACGATGACCCAGGTGTACAGAGTGAATCCATCAAACACACCAGAGCTCTCACCTGCAAACATAACAACATTCTACAGTCTACTGATGATGGTACTGGTTTGACTGATGGACAGTGGGAGATGCTACTCCATGTGTGTTCAGCTCATCGGCTGGTTTGACTGATGGACAGTGGGAGATGCTAGTCCTTGTGTGTTCAGCTCATCGGCTGGTTTGACTGATGGACAGTGGGAGATGCTAGTCCTTGTGTGTTCAGCTCATCGGCTGGTTTGACTGATGGACAGTGGGAGATGCTAGTCCTTGTGTGTTCAGCTCATCGGCTGGTTTGACTGATGGACAGTGGGAGATGCTAGTCCTTGTGTGTTCAGCTCATCGGCTGGTTTGACTGATGGACAGTGGGAGATGCTAGTCCTTGTGTGTTCAGCTCATCGGCTGGTTTGACTGATGGACAGCGGGAGATGCTAGTCCTTGCGTGTTCAGCTCATCGGCTGGTTTGACTGATGGACAGTGGGAGATGCTAGTCCTTGTGTGTTCAGCTCGCCTGCTGGTTTGACTGATGGACAGTGGGAGATGCTAGTCCTTGTGTGTTCAGCTCGCCTGCTGGTTTCACTACTTCATAAGATCTAGCAGAGATGAGAGGCATCATGGCAGTGTGTGGAGTGAACAAGACAAGACAAGACCAGCATTGAACGTCACTACAAATACCGTATAGGGTAACTTAAGCTGGGATTTCAATATGCATACGTGCTGGTTGCTTTTTAGATTACCATGAAATCACATGAGACTCTTTTTCTTATGTAAACATGTTCTTTGAAAGACTCTTTAACATGTTATAAAAAGTATTTATTCAATAGATCTTCTTTAAGTCACAAATAATGACAAACTAAGTAAGGATAAGATTTATGGATGAACAACTTTTTTATTATTAGGAGCGACGTTTCGGTGTTGGTTCTAACATCGTTATCAAGCAAATCATGTACAGAGTATGGCTGACAAGTATATATACAGGTAGGAGGCAGTGTATACATACTTGTCAGCCATACTCTATACATGGATTGCGGGTGATGGAAGGGAATAATACACAGATAGATGAAGTACTGACGTTCGCATCAAACCTCAAACCTCCGACTCTCTGGGACAAGGCCAACACTTGATTCGTTGATCATAAATAGAAACTACATCACCAAGCGGCTATATGGATTGACGGGTGATGGATGGCATAATGCACTAAGTATTGACATTGTTCGCATCAAATCTCACTGGTTTCCAACTCTCTGCGAGGAGGCCAACACTTGATTCGTTGATCATAAATAGAAACTACATCACCAAGTGTTTATATGGATTCATGTGTGATGAATACAGGATGCACAGATACAAGCATTGACATTGTTCATATCATACCTCCTTCCTTGCCACTCCCAGCCTCCTGCACGGCCCACACTCCCCCGTTGAGGACAATACCGAATGTGTACAGTAAGGTGTTCTGAACGTGGAGGGAGGTCTGGAAAACAGCAGATACACTCACTCATGAATCTTTGGAAACAATCTTTCATATCTAACCAACTGGCATTTGGTTAATGTTGGTCCAAAATACAATCAAAATGGAAAAGACCTGTTAAAAAAAACAGGTTTAGTTAGCAAGGTTAACAGAAGCTTCTTTTGTTCATTGAAAAAAATCACATATTCATGTGTTAATATTATATTATTTTCAGTTCAGCAACGTTTCTTAAGGATGTTTAAGGTTCACATCAGAGAGGAGTTATGTCCCTTGAGCCATGTTAAGCTGTTATCCCTGAACTTCCCCCTAGATGCTGGTTTGTAAACCTAAACTTGGAGACAATAGGAAACAAGAGTCATCAGAAAGATGACATATCCCCCCGGCAGCTGTCTGTAAAGTAACCACTAGTAAATGTGCAATTCTGTATGTAGTGAGTCAACAGTTGAATGTTCTTTAAGAAGCATACATTGTTTACCCACTGAATGGTTTTCGAATTCTGGCCCGGAAACAAACCCGTTCCCCAATGGAGTCTAGGTCCAACATCTTTCCATAAAAATTGTAAAAAATAAAAATTCGTAAAAAAAAATATATCAAAAGGCACCACTTCAGTATGTGCCTGATAGCTTTGCTAAAGTTTGATCAAATACACTGAATGGTTTTCGAATTCTGCCACGGAATAGAACCCCATCCCAATTGAGTCTATGTCCAACTTCATTCCATAAAAAGTTTTAAAAGTTTTTTTAGAAAAATACCAAAATATCAAAAGGCACCACTTCATTATGTGCCTGATAGCTTTGCCAAGTTTCGATCAAGTACACTGAATGGTTTTCGAATTCTGCTCCGGAAATTAACCCTATCCCCAATTGAGTCTATGTGCCACTTCATTCCATAAAAATTTTAAAAAATAAAAAATAGAAAAATGCCACAATATCAAAAGGCACCACTTCAGTATGTGCCTGATAGCTTTGCCAAGTTTCGATCACATACACTGAATGGTTTTCGAATTATGCCCCGGAAACGAACCCCATCCCCAATTGAGTCTATGTCCAACTTCATTCCATAAAAATTTAAAAAATAAAAATTAGAAAAATCCCGAAATATCAAAAGGCACAACTTCAGTATGTGCCTGATAGATCTGCCAAGTTTCGATCAAATACACTGAATGGTTTTCAAATTCTGCCCCGGAAAAGGAAATGATTACGGACGGTCAGACGGACAGATGGACGGACAGACAGACTGGCTGATCGCTATATCCCCCCGCATTATATGCCGGGGGGATAAAAAGAATCAATTGTGGGAATAACCTCCGTGAAATTTACCTGAAAGTGTTTCTTTAATATGTATTCGGTGTAGACCCCTGCGAAGCCTGATATACAACAGTAAGTGCACATCATGATCAGACCGGACACAGTCAGGTGTATCTCCCCGGACCATGCGCCCTTGGTCTGCATACCACCATAGCTGAACAGAGAGAGTGAGAGTCTTGTTACAACCCTAGTCATCATGTCAATATGAAAATCAGTGGCTTCATCATTTAACTAATGTCAGCTTGAGAACTCAAGTGTGTATCATCACAAGATGGTATTACCTGTCAAATATGCCTGCTGCACCCAGCACAGCCAGAGACGCCCACTGTATGACGGTCAGCCTCCTAGAGAAACAACACACATTTATCAATGTTAGCGACATCTGTTGGGCATGGGATAGCAGTCAAACGTCACTACCTCAATCTTCAGTAACAACATACGTTGCTTCAGTCTCAGATGTAAGCTGAACCCTGTTACAGCAAAACCCTGTTAATAATTCCCTTGAAATTGTCATGAGAAGCATAACAAATCACAGGTTTGCTGTAATGTCCTTTTTAGTTTAACATAGTCCGTACAAACAGAAATTGACTAACAAGGGCCCAATTAATGAGGTTCCACTGTAATTTGAAGCCTGAGTATTTATTTTCCTTCTGATGCATATTCTTACACGAATATCTACTTGACATACAGCCAAGACACAAGATAGAAGATACAAAACTGTCAGCACAGATGTATCGCAATGTTGCAATAGGGTACTCTCCCTTGATTTGCAAACATTTTACTGAGGTCATATCAATGCACACGCTCCAGAGCATTAAGCTTATTATAGAAAAGAAACATCTGACAACGTGAACTTTGTGTGTAATTCTTACAATAGGAATAGAAACACATGTTACATGTAACATGTAACCTAGAATTGGGATAAATTTTGATGATTCAAACAGTCATTCTTTTACAGGACTTGGAAATGTAAATTATTTGCATTCATTCTCAATTCATACACCTGTTGGATTTTTAACACAGTAACGAGCCAAAATGGTGCTGGCCATTTTCCTTAGGTGTCAGTTTCTGCCTTCATTTCACAGAAGAAATTCATCAAAGTAATCATTCCATATCCACATGGGCAAGTTGTATCCTGGGGAACGATATACTGGATAGTGTTTCAAGAATAATTTGAAAGATTCTACTTGTATCCATTTTGAAACTAAATATAACAAGTAAGTGAGTGAGCATGGTGAGTGAGTTGGATTTAACGCCGCTTTTAACAGTATTCCAGTTATATCACGGTGTGTCAGCTTAATGTGGGAGGAAAGCCCGAAATTATGCAGGTCTCAGATGTTTACCACTTCGGTGAAACCCACAAGCACGGATATGGTGCTGACAAACCTAGAAACATAAACGGGGCAAACCGGGATTCGAACCCACAACCATAGGTTTGTGGCGTGCCCAAGGGACGCAACTCTGCACAGCGAATCGCTGCGGCTAAGACGACTCGGCCACCCATGCCCCCTATTACAAGTAAGAAATACAGAGCATCATACGACCTATCACACACACTGTCCCCTATACCCACCTTCGTATTATCGCCCTGTAAAGCACCGCTGTGGTGATCACCTTCATGTTGCCGAGGATCTGCAAACAAAATTGATGCAGTGTTTGGCTAAATATATATAAACAAGTGTCAGATAAGAGTTAAATGTAATGTAGCGCCATAAAGTTTTGCAGCTAACCTGTGGTCAAACAGGATCCAATTTCCGTGAGAATTTACTGTAATATTATTTCAAGGTTCATACAAACAGCTGACAAGTGATTTTCAAGCCTCAGAAATCCTACTGTCACAAAGTCTGACAATCCAATCCAAATGATAAGCTTCCTACAGGTGGATGTGTGTTGTTTAATATCGCAATAATTCAGCTATAAATAATCAAATATGGGTCAGAAAATCTAATGATTGATATGATGAGCAACACTCCACGCCATCAACCAAGTCACCAAGTCTGCCCCTCTGATCGATCAAGTCACCTCTTGGTTGCTAGGGACCTTTCCTCACCTGAAATCCCCAGGAGTGGAGCAGTAACCTCCAACAAGCAGTAAGAGTGCCTAGAACCTATTCCAACTCTGATCCCATGGGATCAAAAATTGCAGAAATTACAGGAATCTGAGTATTCTGTATATACATGCATCTGAACCCACACCAGAAAGTCACTCCAAAAGACCCCATCCCTGATGCATTATTCGTTTGTGTCCCTGGGAATGTGCCTAACATGAATGGCACAATTGACCACTCGGAACTGACCACCACACCCGTTATTCTTCATCTTCCTGAGGCAAGGGACTTAACTGACTGTAAAAGTCGAGTTTCCATCCTTGCCAAACTAGGCGGGAATTTCTGGGTTCAATTGTAGCGAAACCAGTGGCTATTACGAGTTATGTCCCTCCTACTGATCAGTCGGATTCTACCTCCATACCACTTGCTTTTGCTTCAAACAAAATGGCGGCGCACAGTGAAGACAATCTGATTGATAATCAAGATCTATATTGTAATAAAACGGGTCTTACTACGCGAAGTGCATCAAATCACATGAGCACCTTGATTAAAAGTATGAAAAGATTTAGAAAATATCTGTTGACACTTAGTTGATGGTACACATGCTTTGCAAATCCTGCAGTCGATCCAAAATCTGTATGGCAGTTTAAGAACCGGATGTTGATTTTGTTACACGATTTTTGATTGAACTATACATAGACTCATTAGTCCAGCTATAACTCCATAATTCCAGCCTAGTTAGGCAAGGGTTGAAACTGGACTTTTATAGACAGTTATCTCCCTTGCCTCAGGTAGATGGCCATCCTTTGATCCATGAGGTATGCTCATCACTAGTAATGACCTGTGCCAACATAAGGAGGCCCAACATTCCCCTTTGGTGGTTCTCCAGTTACCCTTCAAAGCCCAACTCCCAGGCAGTCATTGTTAACAGCAGAACACCCCCCAGAGTCAAAATAGGTGGAGTAAGTTGGGCTGGTTGAAGGAAAACAGGACCTGGCAGAGACGGAGACGAAACAGGAGGCAAAACAGGATGAGAAAGGGGAAGTGACAACCATGTTGGAACATTTGCTGAAGAGATACTCCAGACACCATACAGGCCTACAATTGTAGCAATCACAACACGGAGCAAGAAGGTCAAGAACAGCTAACTCTGTGGGTGACCTACTTCCAGGGTGCATTTCACTGGTATGGAGATATGAAGATAAGAAGCAAGTCACAGGATAACGATTCAGAAATTAAAAATCTTTTTCCAGGGATCACTTTCAAATCAACATGTTTTTTAAATTTTATCTTTATTTAAACCACCTCACTAAGATTTCGAGAAAGAAAAAAGTAAACCAAGAAACAGAAAAAAGGTCTAAATGTCATTGCCTGATTGATGAAGAGTGCTAGACGCAGGTGCATGTTTGCTCACTACATGCTCTGGATAATGGTTCAATAATAACAAGAGGACAAAGTCATTGATATCCCCTGCAATGGTAAATACTTGTCGTGAATATGTCATCTAGTTATATAAATACTCACTGACAAAAGAAACAGAAATACCATACATGTTGATAAATATATAAAGAGTTTCTCATATTCAAGAGATTTTAGAATGGTTCGACGCACAAACGAACATACTGTATGGTGTGTGAACTGATGCTCATGAACGCATCACATGTTGACTCGAAATGCACCTTTTGCCTCGTGCAGGATTAGCATGTAAAGTTTGAAAATCATGTGCATCATATTGTGATAAGAATCAAGACACCATGTGGCAACACTTAACTGATTGTTAGTTTTGTCATTAAGTAGTACACATTGAAAACATCTCTTCTTAACAAAAATGTTTCTATGGTTTGCGTTTTTATTGGGGGTGAGTATATATGTATATTTTGTTGCCATGGAAACCTCGAAAAAATATCATTTTCAAAAATCCCAAACCATCAAAAGGCACCAGTTACCACTAGACCTATCTTTGTGCCAAGTTCGGTGAAGAAATGTACGATATTCAAGATCTGATCGTAAGTCATAATCTACTGCCATTTCCAACTTAAGTCAAGGTTGTTGCCATGGAAACCCAATAAATATTTTTGTCGAAAATCCCAAACTATCAAGAAAAACTAGTTCACCTCTAGACCTATGCATGTGCCAAATTTCATGAAGAAATATTGTAAGATCTGCTTTGGAAAAAAACATCTTGCATGGACGAACACATAGTGTACATTTTAATACCCCCTGCAAAATGTGTTGCAGTGGATATTCCTAGATTCCCCATACTAGTGTATGCTCAAACTCAAAGCGATACACATTTATTACCCCCGTCTCGACTGTCATTCTCAGCTCCCTGGGAGTATACGATCCAAGCCGCCTATGAGGTGCAACAAGCATTACCTGGTAGGTGGTGGGGTCCATCTGCACCTGCATGTAAACACTGAGGTTGTTGTTGATGCAGTACAGCACGGCTGGAACCATGAACAGCAGACAGTTGGACAGTGACGGCATGGTCATGTCACCTCTCCACAGTTCCGGCAACAACATTGCTATCGACAAGACAATCTACAACACGAACAATACATCAATGTAATCACAATCTGTCAATCAATGTTCTGTTCTGAGAAAGATATTTCAAATGCAAAATAATAAAACAGGTTCTACAACGAAACAAACCTTGAGGACTTCTGTACAGAGGACGACTGACGATGACCTGAACGGCAGTTTCCCCTCCACCAGACACAGGTGCGCCAGGATGGTGTATGAGCTGTAGATGAACACCCTGTAATTACCAAAATAGTGGTTTGACAATAGTACTGATCAAGATTTCCCGATTCTGGGATCTCAATGCTGGTAACATAATCAATGTTATCATCATGATCATTGTTATGACTACCATGACTACATATGCAGCTTTATGTAAATTTTGCAATGGACTTTTTTTTATCATGAATATGGTATAAAAAGCCATGGTATTAAGATGCTGAATATGATTATAATACACACTCTGCAATCAGCAATAACCACCAAAGCAGGGTCCATATTGCACGCTTGTTGAGGCAAGACTGAAGGGGAGGTAATCCATTCACAGGAAGATAACTCCTTCTGGACTTCTGAAAAGAAATGTTATATCTTATATCAACATGATTAGTGGTAGGTATCATTTTTCAGATATTCATTTTTTCTGTTTTGTTAAAAAAGCTATATATTGCTGAGTAAATTCTCAAACAGGCTTAACACTTTTTAAATTTGTTTATATCAAATGTTCTCTAAACTCACCTCTTCATCATAGCTAACAAGATTTAAACACTGTTAAATCAGTTAATGATGACTTTAGTACCATGAATACTGTAAAATACATATATCATTATCAATCAAAGTGCATACTAGTGATGAATACATATTCCAGGGAAGCTAGCCTGAGTCAAGTTTTTCTAATGGTAAACGTATTATAAGGTCTGGTAGCAGTCTTTTTACGGAGTGTCTTCATATGCTATCACTATTCAGGCTACTTTGGGCTTCAATGAGTCCAAATCTTTCCAACTCGATTATCCAAGGGGGTGAAACTTGACTCGTGCTCGAGACTCCAATAATATCAATATGATGACGTAATTATCTTTATGAATAAGAGTTCAGTGTATAGGCTTATGTAGCATCCGTTTTCTAGCAAAAAAAGCAAATAATATATAACGTAACTTATATAAAATGTTGCTAAACTTATTTGTGTGTAAGATTTTCATTATCGTAACTTTCTGGGACAGGATGACCTATATAATTCATGCATGGCAATGACAGTGGAACACATTAAAATGTCTTGGACAACTATAGAACTTTCTACAAAATGAATACACTTCCAAGTAAATTATCTACTTCAGTCAAATACTTGCTCTATGTTTTGTAACAGGAAATTTATTTGCAATATCAATCAAATGAAAGCTAATAACAGCAGTCTTATGGGAATGTGCTTGTTAACATAAACTAACTTCTATGTAATTGGATAACTGACAAAGCACTTATACTGTATCCTCAATGGTAGCATATGAATTTCTGTTATTATGTACATGTGTATTGAAATTAACACAGACACAGTATGTCTGTTAGAGTTACCTCCGCTTAGCGAGTTTTCGAGTCATCAATAATTGATGAAAATGACCTGGCCCACAAAGCCATGTAACAATAAAAATAAATTTATTTTTATTGTTACATGGTCCTGTGGGCCAGGTCATTTTCATCAACAATAAAAATAAAAAAAGTCGCAAAAAAATCACAGACGGGGGCCTCATCTATGATTTTTTTGTGACTTTTTTTGTTTTTATTGTTACATGGTCCTGTGCCTGGCCTGACGTGAGTTCTCGTTGGAGCCCTATTGCTATTGTTGCTAGTTTATGTTGCATCGCTACACTCATTTAATAAAATCTTCAATTAAATTCAATGTTGTTAAAAAAAAGAATGTCCACACACCTTGCCCCAAGGTGAGGCGATCATATTTTTGTATACAGCATTCCTCTCCAGGCATCTCAAGCCGATATTCAACTAAAACCTGCACTTCCAAGGAAACATCTTCAGTTGGTGAGTCAAGAATACCATTAGGACTGCAGAAATTACTTTAGGTATCTGGCCATGTTAGGCCTAATCATATCCCGGTGGTATTGTACAGTCTGAACATGGGACTGGCATGAGCTAGCTAAGAAGTGACGCCGAACAGACAACCTCCCAACGATTCACATATCATGGTTGTCCTGAATGGTGACCCGATGTCAATGTCGACCCGATCGCGGAGTCCCTGACATCACAAGCTTGTCATCTTGGAGAGAGAACAGAGACCGCTAGTAAAAACACGCTGCAGCCATATTGACAGACCCGCCGAACAACAAACTGGGAAGAAAGTACCGTTTCGTCTTCACTATCGAGCCGGAGTTGACGACCGGCCTCTCAATCTGTCACTTCGTTGAAACGCATCTCTGTGTCTCGTTGCGGCGAGTAAATGCTGTTATGTTGGTAAGACGTAAAAATAGGTAAATTCTCTTCCCGTGATCCCCTCCATAATCTGTGGTCCTACTCTCCTGAAGCAGACTAACAGCACATGCTAGATTAGATGTTTCAGTGGACACCGTACGCACGACTTGGAAGATACGATCATTTAGAACATCACAACACGATAAAATATGCTCTCGGAAATGAACCCCTATGCACAGTCGTGTTGGCCGTAAATACCCGAGATCTTCCGACTGTTCTACGGTGTTTTCAAAACTTGAAACGGAATACGAATTATGTTACAAATGGTTTCTGTTGCAACAGATTTGTAAAAACAACACGTTTACATAATTATATCTGTGAATGAATGCGGGTTTTACACCGGATGTTTTTATCACAATCAATTTTCTAATTGAAAGGACAAAGTAGTTGTTTGAAATTGCCGTATTTCGTTTCTTTGTAACAAATAATTATTTTGGAATAAACCGAAATGGGAATCTCCAGATTCCAAACATAGACCCATCTCGGAATCATATCAACCTAGATAAATCTAGTGCTGGTTTGAAGATTTAAGCATGGAACCTCCGAAAACTACAGATTCATTAAAACTCACGTGTTATCACATGTTTATCCATTCCCGGTATTACCAAATGATTTTTTCATTCAGTCATTGCAGTCAAGAAACATATGTAAACATACCAAAAAAAAAGTTAAGCAACTTAATTATCTTATTCAACTACTTCATTCACTCAGATTATGTCTAATTCCACGATGCCCATACGTCCCTTCTACATCCCTTCTGAGGTCAAGGGAGGTTGTGCATGCATGATCCCCTAAGGGACGGATAACTGTGAAATAAAAAATCTTACCGCTTTGTCGGTCACGTTCAACCAACAACCAACCTAGAAAGTGTGTTAAGTGAGCTTATGGGTGTTTCGAGACTTTGATCTTCTTAAAGGGAAGTGCGTGGTAAAAGTATTTGAAATATGTATTAAAGGGATAATGAGATATACTTTTACCAATCTCATTAAAACAGATCTGAGTTCTCGCTGTCGCTTTGTTTAGCGATAGCGAGAACTAAGATCTGATTTTAATGAGATTATACTTGTACCGCTGGGGTACGCGTAGACCTAACTGGCGTTAAAATTGCATGATTTTTAGAACAAACAAATGTATATATATATATATAAATGTATAGAGAAGGCGAGAGTGTTGAAGCAAAGGATATTCGTATCAAGCTAGCGGTTCAGAGATTTCGAAGTGACATTCAGCTGATGCAAATAAACGCGGATAATTATCGCCGTAAGTTTGATGACGCAGATGAACATATGCGGGAATTGCTACATAGAAGAAATTCAGGGCATGTACTTGATAAACTTCTTAAAATCTGGAAAGATGATTGCAACAAAGATGAAGAAAACGCATTTGAAAAGTGGCGACAAAAAGAAAACTGGTTGCTGAGATATCAAGAAAGATATGGGAACAGTTTCTTCAAAAATAAGAAGCAAACAGATCACACCCTTCATGCATCTGTTAATAAACACATTGTGATGAGGAATCAAGCATCCCAGATAAAAATGCCTAAGACAAATAACAACAAGTCAAAGTTTGTTAAATGCGGGAAAACCTTTGTCGATGCAGTTGCAGTTGGGAATTCTGTACCAGTTCATTCACAACAGCAACCCCTTTCTCAAGAAGAGATACGAAGGCGCATAAGTAATAGATACAAAGGTGGGGATAAACTAAAGAATATTAAAACATATGGCCGACAACGGTGTCCCAACGGACCAGGACGTGATCATAAAAACAAATCGTTTGGAAACAAGTGTGATGGTGACAACGTTACCTACATCGGCAATGCAATCAAGAAATATTTTTTAGGAAGAGGCAGTTTCCACGAAAAGCCAAGACTCCCAAGGTGGAAAAGGCAGGGAATCACATAAAAGATCCTAAAACCATAAACCTGTCTTGTCATCCCCTCAGTGTAGATGAAGTCAGTTTACTGAAAAAAAGTTTAAAGTTTACACCTACACCTACGCCCAATCAGGAGGCTATCAAAACAGACTTAAAGAACTTTACTCGAAAAGTGAGACTTGCTGAATATTTTGAACCTGAGGAGGACAATGACGTTAAATGGGATGATGACGCAGGCAATAGGAAATATGGTGAAAGTCTGGTGAAAAATAAATCCAGTTTTATACCTCCACGCGGGAGAGAAAAATATTTGGAAGACTTTTGTGATAGACTTGAAAGTGCTCCTATTCATGTAAAACAAACAAAACAAAACCTATCTGAATGTGAATTGAAAGGCCTTACTAATCTTAGAAATAATACAGACATCGTTATTAAAGAAGATAAAGGGGGTGCTATTGTTATTATGAATAAATCATTTTATCAAAGAAAGATAATGTCTATTTTAAATGATGATCAATATTATAGCAATTCTAGTAAAAGAGAAGAAAAATCTGTCCAGAATAAGGTTAAGAAATTGTTAGATAAGTATGATGACGAAATTCTAGACAAAGAAAAGGACTATCTTACCAATTTTGAACCTAAAACCGCTAATTTTTATGGCCTACCCAAAGTACATAAAAGTAAATGTATTCAAAAGGCAATTAATGATAAAAATTGTGAAGTTATATCTATTGAAAATCCCGAAGATTTACCATTTAGACCAATTGTGGGAGGACCCGAGAGCTGTACTCAGCGTCTTAGCAATTTCATAGATATTATTCTTAAGCCTTTATGTAAACATGATAAAGTTTTCTCAGAGATGACATTGATTTTTTTACATAAATTACCTACTGAGGTACCGTAAGGATCTATGTTAGTTAGTTTTGATGTTGTTAGTTTGCATAGTAATATTGAAACTGAGCTCGGACTGGAAGCTATCAGATACTGGCTGAAAGAATACCGCCATGAAATATCAGATAGATTTTCGGATGAGTTTATCATTGATGCATTGAAGTTGGTTATTACCAATAACATGTTTTATTTTGATGGATCTTATTATTCACAAAAGAAAGGAGTAGCCATGGGTACTAAGGTAGCCCCTACTTATGCAACACTTGTGTTGGGATTTTTAGAGAATATGTTTTATGATAAGGTGAGAGATACTCTTGGTGAATCTATGAACGATCAAATTGAATATTCATGGAAAAGGTTTTTAGACGACTGTTTTATCATATTAAAAACCAGTGAAAGTCAACTTACAGCTGTTCATGAAATTTTAAATTCACTTAATGCGTCACTCAATTTCACTAAGGAAAAAAGCGAATCCAGTTTAACCTTTCTCGATGTAAGAATCAATTTAATATCTGGGAGATTTGTACAAACTGATATCTTTTATAAAGATACTGATACGCACCAATATTTGGATTTCGGATTATGTCACCCGTATCATACAAAACGAAATATCCCTTACTGTCTCGCAAGACGTATTTGTACCATTGTTTCCGGGAATGATTTTAAAACTACCCGCCTTGCTGAACTTAAGAGTTTCCTACTGCATCAAAATTATCCCGCAAAGCTAATTGAAGATATCATACAGAAGGCGCTAAGTATTAAGCAACTAAAACTGAGAGAAAAGTCTGAAGAAAACAATATGGGGAATAATTTAACTCTAGTATCTACCTTCAACCCTAATCATGAAAAGACATTATCCATGGTTCAACGATACCTGCCTATTTTGAATCAAAGTATTAAAATGGAGAAGATATTGAGCAAATACAAAATTATCAACAGCCAAAGACAACCCAAAAATCTTAGAAAGATTTTGACAAGTTCTAAATTTGATTCTGTTGTCATCACTCCACAGGCTTCTAAGTGCGGTGACAAACGTTGCCTAACTTGCAGCAATATAATTGAAGGCTGTTCAGTCCAAATTACAAAGGACACTAAATTTACTGTAAAACAAAATATGACTTGTGATAATAGAAATGTTATTTACTTGATTGTTTGCAGTGGATGCAGTGAAAAGTATATCGGAAAGACAGAACTTAAATTAAAAAGAAGAATGAATCTTCACCGTTCACAAATAAAGCAGCCACACAACCGCACGTTTCCACTCAGTGAACATTTAGAAGCATGTGGAAACGGCAACTTTTTAGTTTTCCCGCTATATAAGCTAAATTTTTATCATGAACCTACATTGTTTCAAAAAGAGCAACATTTCATTCATAAATACGCGCCTAAGTTAAATATAAAGGCGTAAGTTATTTGTCCATTGTCACCTTGGTATTGTGACGTTATAGTTTCCTAAATGTTATGACGTCACGTAACTATATGTTACTACGGGTGCGTTGCAAAGCGCCAATCGCTTGTAAGCGATGTACAGCGATTCGCCTTACAACAGTGCGCTAACTTTCAGTCGCTTGCAAGCGAAACAATCGCTGACTGAGGTCGCTTCGTTCTCAAACCGAAATGGCGGCTTACTTTGACAGCGGAACAAGGAATTCTTGACTGGATCAACGAGAACATGAGCAGCGTTGATCCAAAGGTAGCTAACACACCATCATCCTCAGTCTGCTCCACATCTTTAAAGTAGTCATAAATTTGATCAGCTCGTCATCGAGCCTCTTCTATTACGTTCTTCATTACGCTGATGGTCAGGCTCGCTGACATGGTTGATGCATGTCATCGTATCCCAATTACGTGGATAGATGCTCATGATGTCAATCACTGGATTGTCTGGTCCAGACTCGATTATTTACAAACCGCCGTCATATAGCTGGAAGATTGCTGAGTGCGGCGGTTAACAACAAACAAACAAACGTCAAGGCAACCAAGCGGTAGTTGCGCCGCAACTTTGGAAGAGTGCGCAAGCGCTTCGAACTGTTGCAGACCCCGGGTTGCGCGATGAATTTGCTTTCTCTAAGCGATTCGTGGCTTGCAACGCGCCCGTAGTACTTCATGTCCGTTATTCAGTTATGGCCTGATGAGACTCGTACGAGTTGAAAGCGCTAGCCTATTAAAACTGTGTTCAATCTTACTCCACTCATTTAATTATTACTATATATATATATATTTAAGAATTGACCTTCACTTTGTGTGAGTTCATTGGAGTATGAACCTTCATAGAGTGAGGGCCAAACTGCATGAACGTCGGAGCTTGCGACGACGTTCATACAATGTTTGGCCCTCACTCTATGAAGGTTCATACTCCAATGAACTCACACAAAGTGAAGGTCAATTCTTATAAAAAAAATTATCACAATTTCTTACCTCAAAGGAT